TGAATTAATGAGTTCAAATTCTGAATGTGCAATCTCTGAAGCGTATTGGAGGAACTACCTTATGATTCTGCGTGAAATCAACAAGGATCGAAATATTCTTCATTAAACCTTGCATCATATAGTCCAAATTACGTCCATGTAAAATGGCTCCCTTCGAATCCTCAGTAACTATTGACGAACATGCCATCGGAGGAGTAGCTACTCTAGAATTAATTTTATTAATCGATCACTTTTTCTGTCAAATTGGTGATGTCGACCAATTTGTTGTTTATTTGCTCCAACCACTGTAAGAATGGCTCATTCAGGACGTGATCATGCTAAATCAATCACATTATCATTCTTCGTGCTACGAATTAAGTAAATAAACCCTTTTTCCATTCGTTTTTCAATGCTTTGCATGGAAATTCATGATAAGAGGCATTCAGAGTTTCCATCGTAACACAAATAACAGCACAATCAATCGAAATAAACATATAACTGCCTTAATGACATCGACTTATCGCTATCGAAAAAACTGATTTCANCAATCAATCGAAATAAACATATAACTGCCTTAATGACATCGACTTATCGCTATCGAAAAAACTGATTTCAGCGCTGTCCAAATGTTGACCGAATTGAACGTTTGTACTTTTGATGAATATTATGAAAATTATGAACGCACACGTGTTCATCAATTCAGCAACTTACATGAACTCATTGAAATTTGTAACATCATAGAGAATATTCAAACCAACAACGTGACAGAATTCCAATCCTGATTCGTTTGCAATTCCTGAATTAAAAGTTTTTAAATTTCAGAAGAGAGTGATGAATTTATCGATAAAAGATCTTATTTTATGTGATTAAATATTCAGCGAAAAAAAACACATCTTAGAAATGTGAATTCAACTGTAGTAATTAATAGTCATGCAATAGAAAGCTCATGACTGAGTGATAATTCGATAGTTAATTGTGATACTTTGATATTATCGATAATATTATAAGACAGTATTTCTTAGTACATTAATGCCCAAACAATGGATTCAGGAAAGAAATTTTTTGTCGAAATGAATGATATCGACTTGAACAACGGAATAATTGACGGGGGGTGGTCACTGATTCTAAAATAAGGACTTTATGCCTCGAGTACTTTTGTGCTGAACTATTATTACTATTACAAATGTGATACTTCTTTCTCAACGCATTAAAGTATGTCTGTTCACAGATGCAATAATGGCTTCATATACTCGCGTCCAAAATTTTCGCCCAATTCCCTTCGCAATATAAAGTTTTGATAATTCAGTCATTCAATTTAGAACACAGCTAATGAACTATATAAAGTGCAACACTAACCCGTCATCTCTCGATAATATTCATCCGGAAATAATAAAGCCAGTTTTTCACATAACCAA